CAGCGTAGAAATGGTCTTATTATGGAAAGACTTGATCGTTGCTTCGCTAATGAGTATTGGGTGCACTACTGTCCTGGAGCTACAGTAACTCACCTACCCAAAACCTACACTGACCACAATCCCCTATTAGTAATCATCAATAACACTCGCTCCACTAATACTAGAAAACCCTTTAGGTGTGAACCCTTTTGGTGTTCCCCACCCAGAGTTTATTATTGTAGTTAGTAATAGTTGGCATAATAGGAACTTTAGTGAAGCCATAAGCATCTTTAAGTAAAATGTTACTACTTAGAGTTTCTCTATTTTTGGAGACATTTTTAAGAAGAAGAAAAAAACACCTTCTAGCTAGATAAATGGTATTCAGAGATCCCTTAGATACCCGACTAGCCAATTCTTCAATCATTTCGAATCTCAGCTTTCAAACAAATATAATAACATTCTTCGTATTGAGGAAGACTATTGAAAAATTAGATCCCGGATTAATTGTCTTTGTGATGGGGACACTAACATTAGGTTTTTCCATCTCTCTGTTATAAATATGCGGAGAAGAAATAGGATCTCCTTCTTTAAAGATGATATTGGGAATTGGATCACTGATCCAAATACGCTTTCCACTCATGTAATGCAATATTTCCAAGACATATACACTAAAAACCGTTTACAAACTAATTTGAAGGATATCCATAATAGCCCAACGTGTTACCACCAAATGGATATCTCCCACCTGGATCGCCCATTGCATGATCAGGAAATTATAAATGCTCTTTTCTCTTTTAAATCCTTTAAGGCTCTTGGGCCAGATGGTTATCATCCTTTCTACTTCCAAAATTACTGGTACATAGTAGGAAAATCAGTGCTAGAATATTGTCACTATATACGCCAAACAATCACAGAAACACTAAACAACACCCTATTACGCCTTATCCAAATTTTTCTAATGCAAACAACCTAAAAAATTTCCGCCCCATAGGTCTTTGTAATACTTCGTACAAAGCCATTACGAAAATTATTGTCAATCGACTCCAACCCTTCCTAACAAAATTAATTACCCCTTACCAAACTATCTTTCTTAAAGGAAGACGTGTTTGTGACAATGCAATCATAATACAAGAACTTATCAACCACCTAAACTCTACAAGAGGCTCGAAAGGCAAATTTATTGCCAAAATTGATTTAGAAAAAGCATTCGACCGACTTGAATGGTTGTTTATTTACAAAGGTTTGCAATTCTTCAGATTCCTCCCCCCTCCCAAAAAAAATTACAAAACTCATTATGAGTTGCGTTTGCTCAAGCAAAATATCCATATTAGCTAATGGATCCATGACTAATTTCTTTCACCCAATAAGAGGCATCAGACAAGGCGACCCCCTCTCACCTTATTTATTCATCTTGTGCATCAAATTACTATCCACATATACTCGCCACCAAGTGGATATTGCTAATTGGGACCCAATTCATATTAGTAGCAATGGTCCATTTTTCTCACACCTCTTCTTTGCAAACGACCTCACACTCATGGCCACTGCCAACAGCAAATCATCCCTCACAATCCAACACTGCCTCTCAATACTTTTCTTCCTTATCAGGCCAAAATATAAATTCCGCAAAATAAAAAATTATCTTCTCAAAAAATTATTCACACACAGTAAAAGACAATATTGCATCGACCTTTGGCATTGCCACTGTTCCAAATTTCGGTAAATATCTTGATTTTTCTTTTCTCAATCACAAACCTATGCACTCCAACTTTCAATATATCCTTGACAATATGTGTAACAAACTATCCAGTTGGAAAATAAATTTTCTCACAATAACAGAAAGAACTACCCTCGCCTTGGCAACTCTAAACTCCATTCCAAACCATACAATGCAATACTTTCATCTACCGAAAAAAAAACCTCAAGGAAATTGACAAAATCCAACGTGATTTTATTTGGGGCACCACTACAAATCATAAAAAAAATTCGTAATATCAACTGGGATACTATTACTCTCCCCAAACAACATGGGGGCCTAGGCATACAACAAGCAAAAACTAAAAATATTGCTTTACTCAATAGCCTTTCTTGGAGACTTTTTTCAAAACCACAAAACCTATGGGCAACTACTCTTATCAACAAATATAGCAATAGACAAACTACCTCCTTGCTCATTCATTGGAGAATATCCTACGTGGATGGGAAGTTTGCTCTAAGGGACTAGGATAAATAGTAGGCAATGGGAAAACGGCCAACCTACACCATTTGGCTTGGATCCCCCTTTTTTCGCCATTAAACTCCTTATTACAAGGCCCAATCCAGAGAGACGAACACAAATTAAAAGTGGCTGATATACTTCTGAACAACCAATGGTCTTGGAGTAGGTTATCCTTCCCCCTTCCAGTTGATATCCAAAACCGTATCCTGAGCATCATCCCAAACCCTACGAAGAATGACATTCCAATTTGGACATTGAACCCTAATGGCCTATTCTCCACGAAATCAATCTACCAAATAATTCAAACGCTAACACTTCCCACCATTAACTTCTCTTGGATCTGGTCGCACAAAACCCTCAATAATATTAAATTCTTCTTATGAAAATGTTTGCATAATTGATTGCCTACAAGACATTACCTTCATCGACTGGGGATGAATGTATCATCTGCATGTCTAACTTGCGCTAACTCTGAAGAAACAATTCGACACATCTTTCTACAATGCTCCATCGCCACTCACTTTTAGAATCAGTTAGGTATTGATGTTCTGCCACTTGCAAACCAACAAACACACTGGTTCCTCAGGCTGAAGGATCTCAAACAAAACCTCTCTAATCATATGACGGCATGGGAGTACTTTTTCCCATTCGCCTTATGGCTTCTCTGGATAAACCGGAATAATAACAATTCTCATAACTTGACTAACACATTATCCCCTACCTTGGTCCTCATGAAAACTTTAGTGCTCCAACATACAGCAGCAGATGTTACTAGCTCGGAAACTAATCACTATATCCAATGCATATGGCATGCACCTCCTCTTGGCCGCTATAAACTCAATACAGATGGATCTTTTACAAATGCAGCGAAGCGTGTAGGCATCGGAGGAGTTTTTCGCAATGCAAATGGGAACTGTGTCTTAGCCTTTGTTGGATATCAATTTGGATACAACCACACACATATGGAGCTTCGAGCCCTCCAACAAGGGCTTCAGATTGCTTGGGATAAACACTTGATACCCCTGGAAATAGAAACAGATTCTTCTGAAATCATTCGCCTGTTAGAACAAAACCACCCTACTTATTTAAATATTGGTGATGAATGCAGGTACCTACTGAAGAAACTGGAGAATCCTCAAGTCAGACATTGCTTCGGGGAGAGTAACCAAGTTGCTCATGTACTAGCTCAACAAGGAAGAAGGAGGACCTCATCTAACAAATCCACCTTTTTGACACCATCCTCATCCATCTTGAAGCTCATACATGAGGATGCAGAAGGCTTAGGAACTACTAAAATAATTTCTAGTATTGCTCGTAACAACCTAGCGACATTAGGAAATCTATATTGTATTAATAGTAACTCTCATGCCACTAACTACTACTGCTGCTGCTTCGATGGTTAATAACACGAACAGTACTTCTGTAATGCTTCCTTAAATATTACTTTATAATTCGCATTTTATCACCACAAAAAAAAAAACTATCTGCGTTGTCCTTTTTCTAGCATTAACTGACTAACTTCATAAAAGAACAGATAAGTTAAAATATTTTATCGTTAAATTTTAAAGAATCAAACACAGAGTTAATGCATGCAATATATGATAGGTTAGTTGTATTTCTTTAAAATCTCTTTAAAAGAAATCCAGTATAATAAGATGACAAACGTTACTGATCTCGATTTTCTTTGTTCTTTAACTATAGATTTATAATCGGTCACTGATTAAAATAATTATAAGTAATGGCTCTCTTAATAATTTTGTGGCTCTCTTAATAATTTTTGTGGCTCAACGAAAAAAGTTTCTAGTACTTTATAAGTGAAAAATAGAAAAGCTTTTACAATTTTAAGTAATGATATTATTATTCAATCGTTTTTTACGTATGAAAAGCAATCGAGCACACACTTGTGACTAGAAATTTATTTTATTTTTTTGTCATGATACTATTTTTGGTAGTTCATTGTGACTTGGTCTAGAAGTCCTTTTTGATACTTCGAATAATTTTGCACTTAGTATGCCGTTGATAACAACTTTATGTTAAAGAAAGTGAGCACCCACAGCTTTAAAATCCTGGATCCGCCACAAGCAGTGAAGAGGGTGGACGACAAGGCTTTGAGCTTGTTAGATGGTAGAAGATATTTCAAAGAAGGTAATCAACAAAACAAAAACAAGAGGATAAATTGCACTTTGTTTATCCTTAGCAAGTTTCGTCACTCTTCTTTTTACGTGTAATGAATGTTTTTCACTTTTTTCATTGGACTTTTAACAATAAATATTGTTCTCGTGTGCTTTATTATGAAACTCAAAAGTGTATCACAATTCGTGCACTTGATTGAAGGTTTTCATTGCCTATGGACCAAAGAAAGAGTAAAGCATTCAATTATACCATAGAGAGGTAAAAAGGAGAGGAAGAGGAAGCATTTATAGATTCAACTTTTCTCTTTCCTTTCTTTTCCATTATATTACAATTATATGACAATGGAGTGGAAGTCCTAATTTTCTCATCATACTTCCTTTTTATACACAATCTAATATAATGGTTTCATATTTTTCCTTTCAATCATAAGGAAATTATTATTAAAAATAATTTTTACACTATCAATGCCACTTAAACCAACTACAGTAGAGTAGCACGCTTTTCAGGTTATATATCAAATCTATAGACTATTTGTGCCCAAAAATTAAAAGAAAAAAGAAAAATCATGTATAACTATGTGCATTGCCTCAGCTAGTCAGCTGAAGTCCATAAGAAACTAATAAAAGAAGTCCACTCAGCAGAACATATATTTTCATGATCAAAATGGTAATTGCTAGTAATAAGACAGCATGTTATCTTTATTGATTAACATCTTTCCAATAAGGATCAAGTGCTCTACTACAAATAACATTTCCATCCAACAGAAAAAAAAAACATGTTGCTCTGAAGGTCCCATGATTGTCATTAGCATATTTATGTAGAGATATATAAAGAAACATTTAAAGATTGCTAAAACTCTGAATGCATTTTACCTATATTGTACAAGACAGCTGCAATAAATCAGGGGATGGTACTGCTTCTTACTTCGTCGCTGAATTAATCAGCAAGTATGCAGGACAATTGGATAGGTTTACCCGAAAAGTCCTCAGTCGATCTAACTTCAGGAGTCTAGTTGAGGATAGATGCATCCCGGTGTGTCCACACCAGTTCAGGTAAAAGCATTTAGTTGAAACCTTTGCACTGAGAAGATGTGCTCAATAGTTGAATGGCCAAAATACTGCCTAGAGGAAAGGTTCAACAAAAAGCTTCTTTATGCTTGTAAATCCGAGCTGTCTAAAACATGAATCCTTCAGAAACTTACTATACACAAAGTGACTGATGGCCGTCTAGAACACGGAGGGATAACACCGGAGACCTGTCAAGTTTAACTGTTGCCTTAACTATAACAATCTAACAATTATTTAACAGTTGGAGAAGTCTGATTCTGATCTGAAATACCATTGCTGAATTTTCCACTAGGATGTCGGACTTTGAAACTGCCATGTTTCACAGGTTTTGGATGAAAAAGAGAGCTCAGCATTTTTTCCAAAGACTGAGCCGTATATTTCACATATTTGGTACTTCCTTCTTGTTCAACCAATGGCCCATAGTTCTGCATGTAACTCCGGTAAACAGGCACAATCGCCTGAATGATTAGCTGGCATGTCTTATCCCGTAGGTCTTTGTCAAGCATTACCCAATTGGACTGCTTCTTATACATTTCATCAAATGCTTCATTAAAAGCTTTTAATCGTTTCTTGACAAGATCACGAGCAGTCGCACGCCCACCAGAAAACAGAATAAGACCTTCCCTGCTTAATAAAGCAGGAAGCTTTCCCCAGCTCTCTTTCAAGAAGAAAGCAGAATAGTACTCCTTGTACTGTTCATGTTCTCTTAACCGCGAATCTCCCAGCAGACCTCCTAGCTTTGTTCCTTTCAGATGCTTATATAGATGCCAATGATTATTCATCAAGAACACATATGACAAAGTAACATCTTCATAGGCCTTCGACCATGTCTCTAAATTAATGTCAACAGATCTCATTATATTCAGCAGCTCATTAATGAGGAGCCGCTCTTGAAACTTTTCGTGCTTCCAACTTCTTTCAATAATCAGAACTTGGGTGAGGATCGACTTATAATCATCCCCAAGCAGCTTATTGCAATAATCAGTGATAAAAATGATAAGTTTTGGAACACTGCCATCAGGAGGAGGCGGCATTTGCCTTTGCAACTCAACTTGAACTAGAAGTTCCCAAAAGATCTCACTAGCCCCTTCAATCACACTCTTGATTAAATCCCTAGTCAAATTTTGTATTTCCACACACGCAGCTCCACCAAAGAGCCGATTGAAATCCAATCTTAACTTGTTTAAAGATGCAAATATGTCCAACAGCTTCAAAAGCTTGATAGGATCCTTTTTACTCTCTGCAACAGTTTTTCCAAATTGAAGGAATGCAAGAATGCCTGCTTGGGCAGCTATCTTAGCAAAACAGCTCATCCACACATCCAATCCTATTCTCTCAAAAACATCATTACAAAGTTTATACTCAGCTTCAAATAGATGCTTTACAGCAAATTCTAAATGCTTACCCCACTGAGCAATGTGACCCTCTATGCTCTGCACATCATTGAACTCGGAGACCGAGATCTCTAGATAATCCAAATTAAGTGCCTGCAAACTTGCGCGGACATTAGAACTCCTCACCTCAACATAAATCGATATGCACTTTTCAAGCCTGTTATTAGCAATCAATCTTCCGATTATAGCCTGTAGCTTCTGGATAACAGTCACTGGCAAAGGGGAGGGCGCAATGCAGGCTTGTTCACCAGGTAAAGCTGGAGCAGACATTGGCAACGGAATAGTATTTTCAACCAAGAGCCGCCTAAATTCGCTTTCCAATCTATCCAACGCAACCTCAAGAAGCCCTCCATCAAGCCGACCCTTTTCCTCCCCACCGTGCAATTCCCTTAGAGAAGTCAATGCTTCCTTCATACATGAAGTAAACCTTCCATCAGCAACAGCATGGTCTTCTAAATACTCCACAATATCAGCCAACCACTGAATTGCCATCTCGCAATTCTCCCCTAAAAATCTTAATGCTTCTTCAAGTCTCTTGAGCACACCAAGGTATCCCGGGAGGTCTGATTGAGGATCGGACAAGGACTTCTCGAGTCCATGAATGGCATCAAACACTTTAAGAACTGCGGTGGCAGGAACCACGGCACGGTTAATATGGCCACCCACAGCACCAAGGGCATCTTTCTGAGCCCTAATTGGCCTAATTGCAGCCTCCAAAGATGGCAATCTCTGAATAATCTCATCAAATCTAGGCCCAGCTTTTTCAATAGATAAACCTAAGGCTTTTGACTTCTCAAAATTAACCCTCAAAGATTTTCTTGCAGATATCAAATGTTCAGTGCCTTTATCCATCTGGGTCATTATACAATCAACCAAAAACACACAAAACCCCACTAATGAACCCACAGATAAATCTCAAATATCAAACAATTTTAACACAAAAGAATGTATCTTTATGCAATGTACAGAAAAAACTTGAATAAAAAGCCAATCTTGGGTTTTTATAAAAGTGAACTTGGATCACTTTTCTTCACCAAAGAAGCGTTCTTTTGCACTTCTTCACGTCTTTGATCAGGAAAATAGGCAAAAAACTACAACCCCAACTAACAATTACCAACTAAAACAAAAAAATCAACAACTACTGATACAACAAAAAAGAAGAGTGATATATATATAGAGAGGGAGAGAGAGAGAGTATGAAGTTGATTAAAGAACTCACAGATATGTTGCAAGTAAAAATAGAGATCCAGTGAATTTTGTATATACTGAATGTTGGGAAGAAGAAAGAGGAGGAGAAAGTAAACCCTAAAGATAAATCGGGAAACGGAAAGGGAGAGCTTTTTTACAACACACTCTTTGCTTAGCCCAAGGACTGTCCTAAAGTGGTAGACAGTAATACATCATTCATTTTCTTCTTTCTTTCCTTTTCTCTCTGACTTCTTGATTTTTATGAGATCAATTTGGTTATTTCCGAGTTACTTCGTTGAGTCCACAAGGTCGGACCCCAATAGTAAAAAATTAAATTATTTCCAATTGTTGTAATGTATAATTCTTTTTGGAACGAGCTAATAAGGAAAGTGTATCATCTAAATTGAAACAAAGGGAATAATATATAAGATATATTTTTTATATATGTATATTTATTATTTAATTATAATTATATACTATTATTTATTTTCTTTTTAATTTATAATAGTTAAAATTAACTTATTTAATTTGATATAAATACTGGAGTAACACATTTGAATAATATTTTATCGAAGTTTAAGAAAAAGTATTTGGAATTGTATTTACCCTTCTCACCTTAATCCCTATTGACACTTGGAGATAAAACAATCTTTTTCTTTACAATTTAAAGGAGTAAGATGTGCTCAAACATGCACACAGGGATAGCAATGGGGCGGTACGAGTGCAGAGCGGGTTTAAACACATGCGGGACGGTGCAGGTTTAAATATATGCGGGTGCGGGGCGGGTCAAAATAAAAAAAAAAATTAAATCTATGTGTTTGCGGTGCGAGTTTTTTCATCAAAGAAGGAAACTCAAATTCCTGACTTTCTGACAATAAAATTGATTCCATGTAATATATTGAAGCAAAATAAAGTAAAATGCAGTGCATATAATTCTTTCATTTTTCGAAAGCAATTTTACAAATAATAACTCAAACTTACAAATAAAAGTATCCATCTTTTCTATGTACTCGGTGCCAAATATTATCAAATTTCTTAACAACAATTCTTCGAAAAATTCATCTGCTGCCCATATTTGCTTTATTTTGCATTTTAGAAGTAAGAAACATTATAACGTCTGTTGTTAGTAATTTTTGCCAATATTACTTCTTCCGACCGATAGGTATAGGAATAAAATGATCTTAGCCATTAATTATTTTAAGATCCATATGGCATAAATCTAAAAGTTAATTGAATATTACTTGACTGGATCTTTTTCCTAAATTAACATATATACTTTTATCAAATATTAAAAGTTAAAAAACAAAGAGGTATTATGATATCAAAAACTTTTTTTAAGTTACTTTTATTGCATATGTGCAAGATTTAATTCTCGTAAGTATCTTATCTTCTTCTTTCCATAACTAAACTACTCCGTGATCGTTAGAATTAATAAAAAGCAAGAGTAAATATAGTAAAAGTGTAAAAAAAATTCTAGCCAAAAGATTAAAAAAATTTAAAACTAACAAAATGAAAAAAAAAAAATTTATGCGGGGCGGGGCAGGGCGGGTTGGGTTGAAATTTTGCGAGTTAAGAGACAACCTGCCCGCCCCGCTTGCCATCCCTATGATGTACATGGACTTTTGAGTCGCGTGAAAAGTAAATAAAATACTATCAATTCATGGAAGGTAAGATGGAACTAGAAACATAAATATAAGAAAGTTACTACTAACAGGGGCGGCTCAAGCACTTTAGTGGCCTAAAGCCAAAATGTATTTGGGGGCCTTAAATTTAAAAAAATAAAAAACTTTTTTTTCTCAATTTTTTGTTATCATTCTATCTTTTTGAGATACAAAGTTGTTAAGTAATTTTTTTGTTGTTATCGATTTCTTCTAATAATTTTTTTCCCGAATGATTATATAGCCAACTCATTTAATCTTCTTGAGAATTGTTAATCTTAGGTGAGATTTTATTAATTTTAATTTTAAAAAAAAATCACCGAGGCAACTGATATAGGAACTGTTAACTTATTTTATAAGAAATATAAGTATATGAAAAAGAATCAAGTCTTTTTATTTGATTGAATATGTCTATCAGAGTATTATTTTTTACTTATATTATTTTCTTTAATACTATTAGTTTCGAGAACAATTTTAAACTATCAATATCAGAGCGACTATTATATTTTAAGCAACATTCAAGATTAAGATAGTATTTTTTTCAAATTCTCATCATCTATTGATCTCAAATTTTTACTACTAAAACTTTTGAACTATTGAACTATCAAACTCTTGGAGAAAGAAAGTAAGAAAGAAATAAAAGAGAAAGTATGTAATCTTATGAGAGAAGGGAAAAGGAAAATCGTGGCTTAGACAAAATAAGAAAGAAGGTATAAAATTGTACAACTACATGCCATAATAATTATTTTAATATTGATGGTTTGTTCACAAATATAACAAAATTATCCTTCTTTTAATAAAGAAAATTATTTTTCTACTAAAAGTACTCAATATTTATTTTAAAGAAAACCTATAAATCTATATTATTGTTATAAAATGGGCCACCAAAATTTGGGGGCCTAAAGCAAGTGCCTTACTAGCTTCACTATGGAGTCGGCACTGACTACTAAAAGAGTTGTCATTGTAGATAATCTGAAGCTTGCATTTCAAAAATCTAAAATCTAATTTAATTCTTCTTTTCCTCTTAAGACTAATTAATGAGAGTTTGTTGCGGAAGATCGTGGGTTAACTAGCATACAATCACACAAAAAGCAAATAGAAAATAAATATCAACACAAGGATTTAACGAGGTTCGGCTAAGCCTAATCCTCGGGGCAAAAGTAGAGAGAGTTTTCCACTATGAATGAGAAAAAAAAAAGCACGGTACAATCTATAGAATCCCGAACTACAACTCCTACATATAGATCCCAAAGGTCCCAAACCTATAAGAGAAAGATTTTGCAATTTGACAGGGACAATAGCTTTTCCTTTTCCAAATCTATTAGGACAATGGGTTTTCCTAAACCTATAGGGATTATGGGTTTCCTAAAAATACAAGGAAATAATTCAAGTCACAAATTAACAATTCTTCCCCTTGGCTTGAATTCTCTTCATTAACAGGAATAACGTCTCTCTACCTTGCCCTCAGCCCTTACGAGGGCTCTACCCATTGCCGCACACATCAACCAAGTCTAGGCAAAGCCTAAACTTGTTAAGATACTCAATCTCTTCGGCCATAGCACTAATCCGTCGATTTGGTTTTGTGCCCGGAATAGCTTATGGATAGCTATAACACTCAAACGCATCAACGGTCTCTACAACTGCCAAAGCAAATCCCACAAGATTCGTATATCCAAGAAGATCCCCATCAACTATGTTTGCAAACCTTTGCGGTCGGTTAATCTCTCTCTTCTCTCTGCCTGTTGCAATGCTATATGTTGTTGCGCAGGTGCATCAACATTATCATCTTGATCAATATTTTGCACCTCCTCCACTTCTTCTACTTTAGAACTGCTGGGATGAGCTAGTGGAGATTCAATTTCTAGCTCTATGCGATTACTGACACCACGATCTGTTTCTGCTATTGCCTTCTCCCTCTGACTGTCCAGTGAGGCAGATCCATTGAATGTTCACACCCCTAATGATAATTAGCCCTGGAGTCTTTTGATCTGTGCACCACAGCCTATAACCTTTCACTCCAGTTGCATACCCCGGAAATATGCATTTCTTTGCCCTCGTCTCAAGTTTTCCATCCCTCACATGAGCATAAGCAGGACAACCAGATATCCTTAAATTTGAATAATCAGCAGGCGAACCAGAGCATACCTCAAAAGGAGTTTTGAACTCAATAGTTGTGGATGGAGATCTGTTGACCAAATAACAAGTTGTATTGATTGCTTCAGCCCAAAAATCCTTGCTAACACATGAGTGTGGAAGCATGCTTCGTGCCCTATCACAAAGCGTTATGTTCATACGTTCTGCAATACCATTTTGTTGTGGTGTTCCGACACAAGTGCGATGTCTCACTATGACCTCTCTGCTGCAGAAATTATCGAACTTTAAATTGCAAAATTCCAACCCATTGTCAGTCCGAAGACGCTTAACTTTTCTTTCCGTCTGCCTCTCAACCATCGTCTTCCATTTAACAAATGTCGAAAATGCCTCATCTTTTATTTTAAGAAAATACACCCACACCATCATTGAGTAATCATCAATCAAAGTCATAAAATACCTAGCACCACTCTTGGAGGGAACTCTGTTTGGACCCCACATGTCTGAATGTATATAATCTAACTTGTCTCTGGTCTTGTGCTCAGTCTTCTTGCTGAACTTTACCTTTGTATGTTTACCAAACACACAATACTCACAAAAATTCAAAACTTGATTTTTGTATCCATTCAGCAAATTCTGCTTACTCAACAAAGACAATCCCTTATAACTCATATGGCCAAGTCGTAAGTGCCACAACTGAGACTGATTCAGATTATTTTTCCTAGAAGCTACAGCAGCTTCCCCTTCAACTACACTATCCTGAAGATGATACAATTTAGAATGCAGTTTACCCTTCATGAGTACCATGGATCCTTTACACACTTTAAGTATTTCATTCTCGGAGTGAAATTTATACCCTTGATCATCCAAAGTCGAAAGAGAAATCAAATTTCTCTTTATCCGAGGAACATGTCAACACTCAATGTTTCTAATAATTCCATCGAACATTCTCAATTTGATGTTACCAATCCACTCTACTGGTAATGAATTATCATCTCCCATGTAGGCAGTCCCACTCATTTGTTTGTAAGTTGAAACCAATTCTTGTGTGGACACATATAGAAAGTAGCACCAGAATCAAGAACCCAAGAATTCTGCCCATGACTAGAACTCACAGCACAGACTTCCCCTACATAGTCACTATCATCAGAATTATTTCCAGTGTCAACAATATTTGCCGAATTATCTATTTTATGCTTCCCTCTTTTCTCCTTCAGCTTAGGACAATCCCTCTTGTAGTGACCTTGCTCCCCGCACTCGTAACAGTTTTGCTTCCTTGCTCTAGACTTTGATCTGGCGGTTGACTTTTTCCTGTTAAAGTCCTTTTGTTGTGTTCTTCCTCTACTCACAAGACCCTCGCCCTCAATTCTGCTGTCTGGAAAGCTCTTTTTCAACTCTTTAGATTTTAGTGCATTACTAGCATCTTCTAGTGAAATGCTATCTTTCCCATATAGCAGCGTATCGGCAAAAGTACCATAAG